TGTTTTGTTGTGTCTCATTGTTTTGTTGTGTCTTATTGTTTTTGTTGTGTCTTATGTCTTTTTGTCTTACTGTTTTGTTGTGTCTCATTGTTCTGTTGTTTCTTATTGTTTTTGTTGTGTCTTTTGTCTTTTTGTCTTATTGTTTTGTTGTGTCTTATTGTTTTGTGTCTTATTGTAGGACCACTGCCACCGGGTAAAAACCCATTTGCAGTCAAATAAATAATAATAATAAAAATAATTTGTGACCTGTTGCAGAACATACTAATTTGAAAGCAAATCTGTAACTGAAAGGATTGTGGTGAAGGTAAATGTTTTCAGATTGCTCTGCTGTCACTGGACCAAACTGCATGGTATGGAGGCTGGATCATAACTGACTCTACCCGATATGGCAGTTATTTTTCACTGTCTTGATTTTAAAATACCAAAATGTGTTTCTGCGCATTAGCCATAAAGTTACTGGTTTCCCTGTTTGATTTGTGTTTTGATGTATACATGTGCAATTATTATTTAATACAGCAATATGAATATTATAAACTTTGTTAATTGTCAACTGGGAAATAACTAATGCTTAGATTGTTAAGTCATGTCTAGAAACCACTTCTCTGCAGTTATTAAAGTTGATGATTCATGAATCTGTGATGTTGCTACCCTCATTACTTACAGTTTCTTCTTAGTATTATCCATGACCTAAGAATTCTAATGTTTTTGCTAGCTGAAGTCTAAGCAAAGGCATGCTGTCCAGTAAGTAAATAAAGTAATCTTTTACCAGGGACTTTTTGAAACTTTTTTAAAAAAAATAGAGATAGAAGAAAGAAAGAAAGAAAGAGATTAAATCAGCAGAATTGATTGCCATCTTAACAGCTGTGAGCATGTGCCAGTGTTAAAACTGTTACAGGAAAAAGATTCTTCTTTCACGCAGTTTAAAGTACAGATTTGTATACGTCATATTCATCGTGTTGATCGTTAGTATTATGTGATATTGAAATAAACACAGTACCTGCTAGATATTTCTTTTCTAGGAACTTGAATTTCAGTCAAATGGCAGAGTTTCAGCCTCTGACACTGAAGAATCAGATGATGAGTTACCAGATTTGGATTTGGCAACAGGCAACAAGGATACCTGTGTTTTGGAGGTACAGGAGTTTATTATAAGCATATTTATTTGCCAAGAAATTGATGGGATTCAGGGTTATAAATTGATGATAACTGAAGTTGTAATCTACTTTTAAGTACGAGGCGCATCCCAAAAGTTAGTTTCCCTGGGGCCGTTTACAGAAACAAAACACAATTTCATGGAAATATTTATTGCAACAGATACAGCAAGTGTCCAGCTATTTTTCAACATATTCGCCACCGGAATTGAGACATTGGTCATACCGTGGGACCAACTTTTGAATACCTGTGTCGTAGAAGTCGCCCGCCTGGGATTGGAACCACTGTGTGACAACCATCTCC